ATTTGCTTCTCAAGCTGAGTGGTCAGTGCTCTAAAAATAAGCGTGCTTTCCATGACTGTTACAGGGTCTTTACAAAAAATTATGCATATGCTTAAATCTACACATCTCAGGATTTGAGGGCACATTTTATTTTGAATAAAAGAAGAACCAGGTATTAAAAATATTATCCAAATGCTGAAAGTGGCAGCGATAAAACTGTCATTTTATCAAACATAACCTATTTGGAATTTATCTAAGTGACTAGTAAAGCATTTAAAATGTTTTCAGTGTTTCAGCTATTTATGTAAACGTTGACTGTGTGTTATAGAAGCCTTCCTGTTGTGTTTCCCAGGCGTAGCACAGTTACTTGAATTCATTCCTTGAGCAGTTCTTAAAGAAGAAGGGTTGGTTTCAATAGTTTCCCTGTTACTGGTAGAATCTGAGGGCGCTGGAGAAATCCCCTTGACGATAGCTGACCACATTGCATCAGAACTGATGCAACTTAACCAGCTGACTTCTGCAGAGCTGCAAGAGGCTCTGGACCCTTGAAGGGCCAAGGCTTGGGCAACAGGCCCAAGAGCTGCCCTAGAGATGGATCCTGTGCATTTTGTAACTGATAACCTCCGTGCCGGGAGGGATTGTGCTGGGTCATAACAAACCCCCTCTGCTGATGGAAAAAGGGATGAGCTGTTGAAGTACTGAAGCCTCAACAACAGGCCTCGAGCCGAAGCTGCTGCCTTGGTCTGTAGTCATTAACAAAGTGTGTGTGCTCGTTAACAGGAGATGCAGCTTAGACAGAATATAATCAGTGGAAATGCTGAGAGAATGTACCCAGTTTTCCTTGTTTAGCCTTGTTCAAGGCTGAGAACCCAAGTGTTCGGCCTTGTTAGAAACTCCCTCGGTTCTCCCCCCGAGCCCTGGCCAGGCTCTGGGTGGAATCCAACAGGAGAGTACGACCAGATATTTCCGCTCCCAGGGAAGGTGCCAGCTCTTCTGCCTTGCTGATGTTTGGTCCCTGAGGCTGGACCCGCTGACAGGGACTCTGGAGGCCTCAGCCAGGGGTGGAGGCACCGCGCAGGGTTTCCCCCACGCCAGGAACGGCTCCGCAAACCCTTGCTGCACCCAGGGACTGCCCAGCGCCGGCGGGGCTGGGTGTGGGGGACGGGTGCCAGTGCTGAGGGATCTTTCTTCGTCCCTCTCCTCTCTCTCTGGCAGTGATGGCTTGATGCATTACCCTCTATTGACCTGTTTGCTTGCTTTAAGTGCATTATTCTGCCTTTTCTTACTGAACGTTTTCTGTATTACTCTGCCACATTATTTAGTCACCCCCAGTAAAATCCACCTGCTCTCTTCCCTCTGGTGTCTCAGTTCCACGGGTATCCTTAATCAGCAAATCAGCAGCTAACTCAGTTTTTTGCCCTTGGAAAATGAGGTTGAAGCAGCGCACCGGGAACCCTCCGGCTGCGCAGAGCAGCCAGGAGGTGCCACGAGGAGCACATCTCTCCCCGCTAAGGGCGGGCAGCCCTGCCAGCCCTCACCCCCCACACTCAGCAGGGTTACTACCTCCAAAATGCTTTGATGAAGCTTGTTTGTGACCTGCTCCGTGGGAGCCAAAGACCACACCGGGCTGCAGCTGTCAAGTGTGCTGAGAAAGACATTAATACCCCTACAACTGTTAATTATTTTTTTTTTTTTAATTTTTTAAGTGTATGAAAAGATTTACAATATGGAAATTCCTGAGTGAGAAATAGTTGAACTTACGAGAAGAGGACATAACCGGTACTGTAAAACCAAGATACAGCTTAGGAAAGCCATGAAAATTGCTTCTATAACTACTGCTTGAAAGCACACTCCAATGTACCGAAAAACCCCAAAGAGTTCATGGTGGGCATCAACGTGAAATGCACAGACAATTAAGTTAATCAGTAGAAGTTCCCTCTTTTTTTTTTTTTTCTTTTTTTTTTTTCTTTTCCTCTTACAGCCAAAGAAATCGCTTACTGCTGAACACCAAGAACGCACTGCCTGGTGCTCCTCAGCCAAGAACACAGTAGGTCCTGCTGCATCAAAGCCTGGTTTTTAGTTCAGAGAATAACTGCCAACATGAAACCCCCCAGCCTTTAGCATTACCAGCTTAGGAAAAAGTGTAAAAAAAGAAGATTGAAGAATTGGTATATTTCAGCATTTGGGGATCTTGGGCTGTTTCTCAAGGGGTAAGGTCAAGTTCTGCTCTAGCTGTCATCCTCTCCTT